GGCTTGTTTATGCCCCAGTTTCATGAATAAAAGATTCATCAGCAAATATTTGAACTACATCCATCGATATTGCGGTCATGGAACTTCTATGTGGACGACAAGCGTTCTAGAGACCTAGATCGAAATGCCCTAGAAATGCTTATTAAATGATGAAGTTGAAGAAGAGTACAGAGGATGTATTTCAGAGAGAAATAACTTAATGCGAATTAATCGATTAAGAAAAAATACAGTGAACAACAAAGACAGGAATGAAATCCAAGACTGAACAAAATTTTTATTTGAATTTGGTTGAGTATTATCCCGATAAAGATTTTAGTATAAAGATGTAAAGATACATTTATGCCTTGTATCTTTTGTAATAAAAAATTATATTTGCTACGATAAGTTTCCATCCTTTTCTCGAAGTGTACTACACAAGTCGGCATCAACGTATAACTTGTACAATATGGTTTTTCTAGAATAATTAAAAAAAATATAACTCAGTGCTGACTGCAGTGAGTGGCAGAGAGTGCATTTTCATGTCGAGGAAAACGTGAAGTCACAAACGGACGGACAGACAGACAAACAGATAGACGAACATGGCGAGCACAATAGTGCATTTTTTCCATAAATGAGAAAATGCGCTAAAAATACAAGTGAAAGCCAATTTTCATCACCAATTTTAATGAATATCACTTCGATTGCCCCGATACCACGTAAGAAAACTAAAAAAATAATCCGCTCATGCTCATCCAGATAACTATCTCTGCTATATTTTTATTAAAATTAGTTAACTCCAATAATTTTTTAACACAAGTCCGACAACGCGAGGATTAGTTTGTTTAAACAAATTCATTAACATCTATCATGAATATATTTAAAAAACGTTGAGTTTGTATCACGTGAGCTGGTTTACTTGGAGCATCACCACAACTCCTAGGCCTTCAGATTCCAATCCCATTACAGAGCCACCGAACGACCTGCTAAACCTTCTCTAATGGCCGCGAGGTTCCAATGCTCAGTCGTAGATGCGAGAGTTTCAAACCATTTGCCTGACCAAACTGGACGCACGAAAATGTAGTAATGAAGCTGTGCCCAAGAAATTGGCCTGATGAAACAGTAGTAACGAAACTATTGACTAAACTGTCTTCACTATACTGTCTTCACTGAACTGTCTTGACTGAACTGTCCTGACTATACTGTCCTGATTAAACTGTCCTGACTAAACTGTCCTGACTAAACTGTACTGACTAAACTGTCCTGACTAAACTGTCCTGATTAAACTTTCCTGACTAAACTGCCCTGACTAAACTGACCTGACTAAATTATCCTGAATAAACTGTCCTGACTAAACTGTCGACTAAACTGTCTTGACTAAACTGTCCTGATTAAACTGTCCTGCTAAACTGTCCTGCTAAAATGTAATGAATAAACTGTCCTGACTAAGCTGTCCTGACTAAACTGTCCTGACTAAACTGTCCTGACTAAACTGTACTGACTAAACTGTCCTGACTAAACTGTCGACTAAACNTTTTTTGCTTCGCTTACCTTTTGGGCCTTTCACTAACTTCTCGTACACTAACATACAAAATGGATAGCAAAATTATTTTAGTTATAATTCATATATAGTATCTGGAAAGGTTGCAAATTAAACATAAATGTGCACTTGATTGGGGCATTTTGATCACGTCATAATATTTAAAAATTATTTTTTTTCCATTCATTAGTCATAACTCTCTAATTTTACGAAATAGTAAATTCTATCTTGATTTTGTAACTTGAAATGAACTAAGAATGATACAGTCGGTAAATATTTGATCTTTCAATTATTTTTCAAGTATATTTTGTTTGTTTAATACCTTTCGCAATATCTTTAAAAACATCACTCGAGTTCACCGTTCCGAAAGAACTATAATAGGATTTCTACATGCAAGCGCTTCGCCTACACAAGTCTCATTCAGAAATAAAAATAAATCAGAGCCTTTTGTGGTTGGACACAATAATTAAATTAAATAAAGTCATGTAAGTTATGACACGAAAGGTGTTGTAAAAAACATCATTGATGTTCGAAACAATATTCTATCATTGCGGGAGGCGCTCTGCTTGGCGTTTAAACGTCGGCTTTGAAAATACATGATTACTTTTGTACTAGTTGCATTTAATTTTGAATCCAATTTCCGAAATAAACATTTTTCAGAGAAAGCTATTTTCTAGAGGGAGTTTTAAGCCAAATAGTATGATTATGAAGGGCCAAACATGGCATGATTGTGAAGAGATTAGAATGTTGAGGTTCCCAATGCACAAAGTTGTTTCACAGAGTTACAGCACTTATAATAGTGTTTTCGCCTATGTTTTTTTAACTAAATTCTCTTTTTGTCATAAGTGTCTATAGAGAATTGTACAAAAATAGAGACTAGAATTATGACTCAATCTGAGATAGAATTCAATAAATTGAACTATATTGTAAATTTAAGTTATTCTCTGAAATGCTAACACAACAAATTATTTTTAGCGAAAATATCCAACACCGGAGAAAATTTACGAACCCTTGATTATAATCACGTTTGTATTAGCATAGTGTCTTTTAATTATTTTCTTTCAGAGGATTTGTATCAGATTTGTATCATAAAAGTGATAGAACGAAGTGATATATTCTGAAACAACAATATTCTTTCTGATGACTTTTGTCGTGTTTATTTATTTCGTCAAAGCTGCTGTTAACATCTCCTTTCAGAACTCGCGGCCTTACCAATTTCCTTGACCAGATAATACGATGAAAAAATGCCACTGGAGCAAAGGTGTTTGATGTTTGTCAACAAGCCACGTCAACACGAGGAGTCTTGCGTGCGCCAAATTTTATGATTTCTTAATCACATAAAAAGATATTACGGCAGTAAAACTACAGGAAATTCCATCGCCCGTGTAATATTTTTACTTGCCTGTAGACGACTCAAACAAGCTGCTATTCAGTTCCAAAAAAAATCAGGCGCTATATATTTTTCCGTCATATTAAGCAAGCTTTCTAACGTCTTTAAAAGTCGAAAATTCCGCTGTTAGCAGGTTCCAGAGCTGAAAAACATTTTAGAAGTTGGGGAATAACAAAAATTTTCAAGATAACCTCCTAATTTTGCATGACTTTGATCAACGTCCTTTAACAGTCTATAAGAACCGAAGCCTGTTTGGAACTAACTTATAACTCGCGATTTTCAAAACATGCACGATCGTTTTTTAGTATCGCTCATGAGCTTCTTTCAAATGAAGATATATAGCGGTTTCAGCGTATATTAGGCCGTAGGCCTGTCGCCGATTCCTAACATCGCAGAACATTCACAGCATTTTGAGGTCTCGAACTCGCAACGCACTGCTACAGTTCTGCTGTGCTTAACCGCCCGGCCTCCTCGCCGATTCTGACCAGAAACTGGCGCACAGAGCTGGGATCGAACCCGCGCCTCTCTAGTGCGTCAATCCTGGTACTCTGAACTTGGTACACCCAGCCCAGTGATTATCCAAGATATCCATTTCTATCCTCGGGTTGACTGCGAAGCGAATATAATTACACGACAATTGAAGACCGTCTAACCACAGTCTACAATTTCTTTCCCTGGCAAAATCATATCAAAGTCTCATGTTAAACATTGTATGAAAAAATTTCCTTCACAATTTTTGTTCAAAGAAGTCGCGGGATCGGTGCTTGACTCCCTCAAAATCTTTCTCTAGTATAGAAACCTGAATTAAACCTTAATGTTTTTTATAACATGAGACTTTTTTTGTTATACGACATTTTCCACAACTATTGCAAACGTTTTTATGTTCCGGAAGACTGCCCAAAGTCCGACCAAACCCTGAGCGGAAGATCTCAAAGTGAGCTTCTTTGCGAATTTCTCAATTTTGACAAGGAGCAATTTTCGCTTTCAAATGAAGAGCCTATGTCGGTGGGAGAAAATTCCCTCGACCTCTGAAGTGTCTGGTCTCGGTGACGACTCAAGAGACGAGCTCATTTTAAACTGAAACACTTGGCTTTGGTTGTTCGAAGTTGTCAAAGAAAACAGACACGGCAAATTACACTTCGACAACTGTTGTGCTTTCTGACACGACAATTTTAACGCAAAAGCCGGCTTCTACGAGTGAAAAAAAGGAGTAAACAGCCGAAGCTTTTTCCATCAAAGATCTTTCCTAGCAATTTAAAAGCGAAGAAAACTCCACAAAAATTCAGCATTTCTCTATTGAAAACGTTTCGGAGACCAGCTCCATCGTCAATTCGATAAATCTAGAACACAAATACAGTCAGAAAATTAATAAAGTTTGGAGTCATAAAAAAAAACTTTCCTCTCAAATAGAAACAGAATTTTTGTCCAAAAACTGAACACGATCAGTGTTTTCATATTGCTACATCGTTGAGTAAATAAACAGCTCCCAGTAAACCTACAAGCTATATAATAGTTTTTTTTTTTTGACTCTTCGCAATTGAAGCAGTCTCTGTTTAGAGAAGTTGTGAGTGGTGACCTGAAATTCACGCAGAACGGCCTTGATTCTCGATTTATCAAGCAACCTCAATCGCTCGTGATTGAAAAACGCAAGCAAGCATCGAAGATACTCTAGTTTTAATATATTTAATTTTCTGATATAATAATTTTTTATTGTATTTTTCGAACTGATATAATAATTTTTCTGATATAATAATTTCTGATATAATAATTTTTTATTGCATTTTCGAAATCTCGTTTGCTTGAATTGAGTAATTGTAATGGTACTAAAAATGTTCGAAAAACGCTGTTCTTGTTTATAAATATTGAATTTAACTCTTTGGTGTAATTTCGATTAACTGTTTATGGATGAGTATTTAAAGAGAAAAACTGCTATAATGCCAGTTGATATCAATATTCACATTAATACCGTTAATACAACATATTTAATTAAATAATACAAGCAAAAAGGCAAGTAAATTCGGAGTTTTGCCTTTTCCGGAACATTCAGATTAATGAGCTTTATTATAGGTACTCAGTACTCACCTTTAAATTAACTCTGCGGATAAGAATTTTCTTAGCGTTTGAGAAACAGGGATTCGAATAAAATATAGTGTCTTATGCAAAAAACTTTATTTTAAATCACTTTTATGCTTGAGTTAAGCATCAATTTCTGTAACGCTTTCTATAGCCACGCTACAGAACTATAAATTCACATTACCATGCAACATATTCAAGTCTGCAACAATACTCACTGCCTATGACAATAAAAATTAAATTTTTACTCGATGATTTAGAGTAAAGAAAATGCTATATTATTTCACCATAATTTGATCACAAACTGAACAATTTTTAATTCAAATTCTAGTAAATTTAATAGGTACCGGTATTTGCTTAGCTTTTACATTTTTTTACATGTAATTTAAACATGCTTATAACATATGTACTTAATCCTACTCTCGTTGGCTGGATAAATCCGTCCCAGAATTTAGAATGAGCACAACAATAGATACCTATGGTTTCTATTTCATATCAATAACGAAATATATTATATACTATACGCCATATCAAATATAGGTTCGAAGGTACTATGATAAGGCACAGATATTTCGTAATAACAAGGGACGTTGTTCAGAACCGTAAGGATAACAATCAAACATCAAATTCAATAACCAAGCCCACACATATACTTCTAATTTAAGAGTCAGCTGCGGAAAAAATTGCGCAGAAATATATAACTTAAAAGAGCTCCATGAACCACATGTTAGACTACACATTCAACTTTATGAATAGATAGAGAGAACTGTATTAATTTCATACCAATAAGGTAGTCTTCAAACCGATGCATCACAAACTAAGCAAGTTTAAGGCAAGATATAACTTGAAGGCGTGAACACATTTTGGCTCAAAAATATCAACAACGAAGACATTATTCGGTGGAGCATAAATACGAACGGAAGTATAATTAAACATCGTTCAACTGATGCCTAAAACAGGGCTTTAATTACGACATGCATAACGAACACATTTATACACATTTATATAATATCGAGAACTGAAACTGTATAAACAGAAAAAATTCCAGGCGCGCACGCGGAATTCGCAGCCAAAAATCTTTCATGCAAAAGACTCGGAGCAGTGACTGAAACCCTACAGCAAACCCAGCGACTGGAACCCAACAGCGAACCCAGGGATTGTAACTTTACATCAAAACAAGTGACTGGAACCCTACAGCAAATCCAGCGACTGGAACCCTACAGCGAACTCAGGGATTGTAACTTTACAGCAAATTCAGTGACTGGAACCCTACAGCGAACCCAGGGATTGTAACTTTACAGCAAATCCAGTGACTGGAACCCTACAGCGAACCCAGGGATTGTAACTTTACAGCAAATCCAGTGACTGGAACCCTACAGTGAACTCAGGGATTGTAACTTTACAGCAAACCCAGCGACTGGAACCCTACAGCGAACCCAGGGACTGTAACTTTACAGCAAACCCAGCGACTGGAACCCTACAGCAAATCCAGCGACTGGAACCCTACAGCGAACTCAGGGATTGTAACTTTACAGCAAATCCAGTGACTGGAACCCTACAGCGAACCCATAGGGAGTGTAACTTAACAGTGATAACTCAGCGACTGGAACCCTACATCACACATTATAGAATAGTGCACATTGTACCCTACAGTACGGGAGGAACCTTAATTGACACAATAAGCAAGACATCAGAATAGCTTGCGTCTAGATACTTAAGACATCTGTAGTTAGGAACACCTTCACTATGCTAATGCTTCAAAGTTTCTAAAGTATAGCGTCACCCATGGAATTTCAAGTTGTATTAGAACGCGACATAAATAAATAGTTAATATAAATAGTCAGCAATGTATATTCAGTTTAGGAACGGCTTTCAGTTAAGCAAGGATATTTAATTAGGCTGTAAAATCATACGCATTCACAACATCGAATAATTTGATAGTTCGAATTATCAAATTATACATCAGTGGGAGATCTTCATGTCTTCGATATTTCGTACGTCTCAAAAAAAATAATAATAAATCATGCACACTACAATGAAATTATAGGCTTTTGAAGACATTTCGATAGTATATTCAATTAAAATATTACTTAAAAAAAATTAAAAAACAAAAAAAATTTTTCTTTTATTGAAGAATAACTTTAGTAACAACACGCATTGAGAGCAGCCACATACATAATTCACTGCACATTTAGGAAGCTCTCATGACACTCGGTGAAAGGAACACAAAAACTCACAACTAAGATAAAACAATCTAAGCATAAATAACAAATAACGGCTGCAACAGCGCAAAAATATTACACTAGACATAAAGCCACTCATGCGCTGCATCGTTTGAGTATTCATTTCAAGTTGAACATAAGTTTACACATCAATCAATATTTGACACCAAAACTGAAAACTCTCATCAGATATTTAAGACGCGAATCGAAGTGTCTATTCAAACTTTAATCAATCGAGAACCATAACAGATGTTGATAATTCGCAATAATGGACTAAACGACACGTAACTCTGAATTATGCCTTGTAACATTATACAGGAACTGAGCGCGAGTCGAGCATAACTTTCATGGTTCATTCATATGCATCCATGAACCAAACACGCGTCAAAAACCGCCTAATTTTTTTGCGCGGTTACCAAGCCTCAAGTATCGGGTTAAATCCAAAAGGTAATAATAAGATCATCAGAACGTAATGATCAGCTGATTGTCTGTATAATGGTTAAGATACCCCCTCTCGATTGTCATGAAAATATCATGTACAATTTTTTCAAACAATATCAGTTGATTCATCACATGTTAGCCGAACACCCAACTTCGATGCAGTTGATGTCGAAGTTGATGCAGTTGATGCAGTTGATGAGTCTTTAGAAGGTTTGCTTGTCATCACAATCGTCCGTGTCGTGGCCGAACACTGGAAAAAATTAGGACAACAAAATTAGATCGAAGCACGCAGCGCCAATTTGCATACTTGAAGAATTTTTCAAACCGCATCAACGTACTACCTACTCTAATTTCAAACTGAAAACGTATTACTAAAAATTCCTAGGAACAATTACTCTACTTCAAAACTGAAAATGTATTACTAAAAGTTCATAGGAACTAGTATTACTATACTTTCAAACTAAAAACGTATTACTAAAACGTAATAAGAATCATTACTCTACTCTCAAACTGAAAAAGTATTACTCCAGCATCGGTACACTATTTATCCTGAGTCGTGGATTCACCTTACCAATAAAAAAAAAAAAACTCTCCTCAAATTGCAACGGATTCAACTCGCTTTTATTCCCTATCAACTTAACCGAATTAGCAGTGTATTAAACTATTTTCTAACATCAAATCACCATTATTTTCAGTGTATTCAACTCATTATATTTCCAAAATCAGCTCCCACTAAAATCATTTTCTAACGGGGAATTCGCGTCATTTAGCGTTATCATGTTATTTAAGGGCAGTAGATAACTTCTTTGCCAATTGAAACTACCACTAGTACCTATGGGTACCTCTCTTGCAGCCAAGCCTTGATATATATCAAGGCTTGGCATTATATAATAATTTTCAATATATCATAATTAATAATAACAATAATAATAAACATAATAATTTTGCTCATACGAAAAGCTAAACTCATTATATGATATGCACTACTTACGGTATTTTGCGAGCAAAACAATACTACGTCATACGGCAGCACAAACCTTCACAAACTTCACAATACGGCCTAGGCGCAGCGTTATGGTCAGCTACACGGTGAGCAAAACAATACGCTACACGGCAGTACAAACCTTCACAAACTTCACAATACGGTCTGGGGACAGCGTTGCGGTCAGCAAACAATACGTTACACGGCAGCACAAACCTTCACAAACTTCACAATACGGCCTGGGCGCAGCGTTGCGGTCAGCCAACAATACGTTACACGGCAGTACAAACCTTCACAAACTTCACAATACGGCCTGGGAGCAGCGTTACTGTCAGCTAACAATACGTTACACGGCAGCACAAACCTTCACAAACTTCACAATACGGCCTGGGGGCAGCGTTACGCTCAGCTACACGGTGGGGGCGCTGAGGCTCGGGAGGGTCGCCGCCCTCCTGCTGGGGGCAGTCCTCGGTGTCGTGCAGGTCAAAGCAGTCACAGATGTCGCAGAACAGGCGAGGGGCGACCACGCGACTCGCCGAACTGAACAATAATGATATTAATCAAATATTATATTAATCAAATATACGTCCTTATTCGTATTATTTAGTTCTCGGCTCGCCGTACTGAACGATAATTATGATAATAAGATAACATTCATAATTGTATAGCTATATTTTTACAGAGAATAAATTCACATCCTTATTCATCTTATTCAGCTCGCGGCTAGCGGAACTGAAAAATAATGATATTAATGAAAAATTATATTAATCAAATGTACGTCTTTATTCATATTGTTCAGTTCGCAGCTTGCCGAACTGAACAATAATCATGATAATAAAACATTCCTAGTTGTATACGTATATTCACAGAGAATGAATTCACATCATTACCGTACTCATATTATTCAGTTCGCGGCTTGCCGAGCTGTAAAATAATCATAATAAAACATTCCTAATTGCATACATATAATCACAGAGAATAAATTCTCATCCTTATTCCTATTATTCAGTTCGCGGCTCGCAGAATTGAAAAATAAAATACAAGTGTTAACAAATTTAGAGTAAAGATAGACAATCTTGTCCATGTCGCGTGCGAAATGGTAATATTCAACTTATTCGATAACAAAGGAAATATTAACATGTCACTGTCACTAACATGCCACTAATGTCACTAACATGGCCTTATGGTCATCAGTAGGGTTGAGGGCGAGAGCGAGGGAGGCCTGCAGTTACATGCCACTAATGTAACTACAAACACGTCACTAACATGCCACTAATGTCACTAACATGCCACTAATGTAACTAACATGCCACTAATGTAACTACAAACACGTCACTAACATGGCCTTATGGTCATCAGTAGGGTTGAGGGCGAGGGAGGCCTGCAGTTACATGCCACTAATGTAACTGCTAACATGCCAAAAATGCCACCACCAACACGTCACTAACATGCCATTAATGCCACTACCAACACGTCACTAACATAGCCTTATGGTCATCAGTAGGGT